CGATCACATTTATTTTACGTCTCCGTCTTTACGACAAACGTTTTGGAAAATATTAGCATTTCGTGTTCGTTTTGACTTTGTGTGGACGGGGCCTTAATAGAGCTAAGACTTAGACAACTTTAATTGTCATTCTGTATACAGTAAACAAAACGATATTTTGATTTGCATCGCTAAATCTTTTTTTACTAAAATCTTTTTGCTTCTGTAACACCAGAATTTCCCAATTGTGAGACGATAAAAGGTATTTTCTTCATTTCTCTCAGTTTAAAATCAATGAAAGGATCTATATCATGGAAAATCTACTTTTTTTTTCTTTTAGGATTCACTATGTTGTAACGCCATCCTCATGAAAACTGTCTCTGAGCGCCTTCATTCCTGTTCAAAGCTGAGCCAAAGTGGCTGTTTTAGCAGATAATCTGCACGGTGACAGCAACTGTTTTATTTTTATTTTTTTAACTAGTGTTAAAACGACCATAAATATGTTTTCTGGTTGCCAGAAGTATCTTCTTGTTCATCCGTCCTAAAGAGGAGCCTAATCTTCAGAAATGATGTGATACCGATGCTGAAGCAGCTCAAAGGCAAAGTCCCCCAGAGGGAGAGGTATTATTTAAGGCAAGTGTCTTTCACTTGCTTCAAACAAATTAACTCTGTATTTTTAAGAGTAGCATCTAACCATATATATGTCTATAGCTAACTCTAAAGGGCTAAAAAAAGTAGAACCTTTAGCTTTAAAGCAGAATGCAGCAACAGTCTTCTCATGTAATTTTGGTTTGTTTCCTCTGCCTCCAAGAGTCCAAGTGTTAAACTAACCCAACAGTTTCCTCCTTAAATAGCTCACCCTTCCCAACTAAACAAATGTAAAATGATTTAAGTCTTCAAACATCTCTACATTTCGGATGCAAAACTACATTACATTGACCATCGCTAGATAGAAATGAAAAGAAGCTAAAAACAGTCAATCATATGGGATGTGGGTGCATCTATTAGACACAACTGACAGCACCCTCTTTTGCATCACATTCTGCTACGTCAACACCACAAAGGTTTGTTACTACATAGCAAACAGCTGCAGAACGCCTTTGAGTCTTACTCATCCATCCTGGCCATCTCTTTCACCGCCTCCACGCCTCCAGGCAGAGGATCCAAGTCTATGAAGAAGCCTTTGGACTCCCAGATACTGATGGCTTTTTCCTAGAGACAGAAACACAAGCGGAGCTTCCATCAAGTAGTGTGCTTTCATCACGTGTGTTTGTATCAGTGTAACCTTTGCTGTAAATACAGGAAGGTGCAAAGGTCAGGTTTGCTGTCGACATGATGTGAAAAAGTTACACCTTCCCTGTTTTCTTTGTTGCGATCTGACGCTGGATTGTTTAAACCTGAGTCTGCTTACCTGTGGACCTGTTTCCATGTGAGGATCCCACAGAATAGGCCTTTAGATTTCTAAAAAGTACTGAACATAGATTGTTCTGCCTTTTTGTGTATATTAATAACACTGTAAGGGAAAGAGCATGTGATCAGCCTACAGCAAAGATTAGTGCAGATTGAGGGACTTTTGACAGATTCAAGACAAGTTCTAATGTAAAGCTGTTTTTGCTGAAGAGCAATTTGATTTCCCCTTAAAGTACTGATCAAAATATGCATTAAAACATCGAAAGGAGTAAAAGCAAAGGCAGAAGAGGTAGTGTTGCACCTGTATCGGCAAGTACCGACAAATAGGGCACTGATAATATTTTCAGAGCCAAATGTTTATTCAACTATAGTTACCCATTCCAGGTGCAACAAGCAAGTGTCGTAACCACCTTGTTCCCCTTTTTGAGAGGCATTT